CTCTCCTGCCCCCGGCAAGTAAAAATAGAAACGAGCTGAAAACAGCTTTATCACTGGTATTCCCACGTCTGGAACTCGAGGACCTGTCAAACATCTACCACTTGCCGCGTGAGAGAGAATTCGATCACTAATCTGCTCCATTACTTCAACAATCCATGACATCATATTCCTCGATACTTTCAATATTTTTTTCACTGGATACATTTCTTTTAATTCTATTCAATTTATATGAATATGTACAAAGCGAATTCGTTTGTACAAATTAACGATCTACAATCAAAAATTTTATTCTTAATTATAATAATCATAAATATACTTTCTAATTATTTTTTTTAATTTACATTCAACGATCTTCGATAATGGAACACGAAATTGTTCGTTCGCAACGAAGCGAACGGTCAGAGAGAGAGAGAGAGAGAAAAAAAAAAGAAATAAAAAGAAAAGGAAAGTAAAAATATCGAATGTCCTAAAATTTGAAGGAAAACGCGGGGCGCATCCTCGCGGTAATCACACCTCGCTTCATCCCTTTAAAATTACTGTCCCGCGATCGATCGCGATCAAAAGATCGAACGATATCTCGGGTCGAAAAAATGCCCCTCAGATTGGCCGGTTCGCGTTTCAGGAATAGTCTGCAACAGGATAGTTAGTTATGCCGCTCCTCATATTATTATTTACGTAATTTTCCCTGATATTTTTTACAACTCAATTTTTTTAAAGGAAACGACCTCGAATAATTTGAAATTCATAAGAACGCGCAAGATGTAAAATTTACTCGAAAAAGAAAAATTCTTTCTTCCAATTATTTAACTTCTTAACGCCTGTCATCGAAAACCAATCAATTCTTCCCGAATAAAGACAACTGAATCCAAACTTTTATTAATCTAAGATAGATCAGACACACAGGTTACAGTGAACTATATTGATAAATTCAAAGGAAGATACCAATTGATATTATATTTCACATATCGAGGGACAATTCCTGTTGAATCAACATGAAGAGAGGGGGGAGGCAGAAATATTAATTACCCGACAATAACTCGATACTCACCCAAGAGGCGGGACCGATTGCAGAGTATTATCCAGATCCTGTGCCGGGCTGGTAGTGTATCGTTGTCCCGTGCTCGTCACACCTCTGGCAATCGTGGTCAGGAGCCAGATGGCAAGGATGAACGCCATTTCGTTCGTCATTTTGGCGGCCGGCATCATCGATTCACGAACGAGAAAACTGTCCAGCAGCGGGGTTCCGTCGCGTGTTACTCGTACGCTCGTCTCATGATCAATCGACGATCACACGCGGATAAACGAAGTCTCTCTCTCTGTCTCGAACGATTTCAACGCCGGATAGCGATCGATACCACGATCGGTTCCACGATCATGGTTCTCGATCGACTGGATGCTCGGTAATCTGACGCGCACGGGATTCTGTAATAGAAGCGTCTCCGTTCCAGAGGAGAGATTCTCTGAACTCGATTCGTCGGGGATCTTTGGGGTGAAAATGATCTCTTGCGTGAAATCCTCCTCCTCGTCTTTTTTTTTTTTAATTTGTGTGTGCGTATGTATGTGTGTGTAGGAAATGTCAAGAGTTATTGGAAGATCGACGAATCATTATGGAATTATTAGGGAATTATTATTTGCAAATATGGATGGAAAGTAAACGAATCTTTGGTATTATCAATGATTCTATTTACAAATGTTATTATTATAGGTGTGGACACGTGTAGTAGTCGTGAAACCTTTTTAAATTTTCTTTGCAAATTTGTTCGTATTCTCGAGGAAATAGTTACAAATAAAAACAAAAAATAATTATGGAAAATTG